CACAGTCTGTGGTAGAGCTGAGAATTTTAACCCAGATCTCCTGAGTCCTAGTCCAGCACCTTCACCACAAGACATTCATAAATGGCTGAATTCAACCCAGGAGACTCTGCCTGCCTGCTTTGCCTCGGATTGGGATTCCCATGGCTTCTAAGAGTTTGGGCTTGTCTCTTCAAAGGACACTCTACATTTGAATTTGTTTTAAGTTGACTGATGAGGCATCCATTAAGTATCATCACCTGCATTTTGTTTGCATCTTAAAAATAAAGAAGTTAAGACTTCTTTCTACTCCCCTACTGGGTTTTATAAAAGTATTTTCTGTAGGCTCAAGACAATACTACCAAGTCTGTGAGGGGCTCAGATACTACAATAATGGGGGCCCATATGAGTATCTTCGACAGAGAGATAAAAACTTTTTTGGGCCCACCCTTCCTCCAGCCTCTCCCTTCACTCCACCTTTACTTCACTTCACTTCACCTTCTGGGTGTGGTGTTCTGGCCCATCTAGTGGCACTGAGACCACTTAGAGAGAGAGCTAAAATGAGTGTGCTCTACAGCCTTAGCTAAGAGCCAGTTGGTTTTTAGCTCATGCAGTACTCATGCACTAAGCTCCAGAGGTCCCTGGTTCGATCCCAGTGACAGGGGTCTGTCAGTGTTACACATACGCCTGCTGTTCAGTTTCAGCCTAGATTTTCCTGCTGCTTGTCACTAGTAAACCTGATCTTGCAGAGACTTGGAAAGAGCATTTGTGTAACCTCCACTCCCCTCCCCAAGAAGTGCATGAGAGAGATAGCAATGAAACAATGAGATTAATTATACACAAAAGCTCAGAGCCTCGAAAGTAGAGTTGCCAACTGTCTAAACGCACAAACCCAAACACCCTTCCCCTAACCCCTGCTCTCCCCCTTTTCTGAGCCCCCGCTCACTTCAGCTCCCTTCCATCGCTCGCTCTCTCCCACTCTCATTCACTTTCACCGGGCTGGGGCAGAGGGTTGGGGTGTGGGACAATGTGTGGGCTGGGAGGTGGGGCTGAGGGGTTTGGAGTGTGGTGTGGGCTCTGGGCTGAGCCTGGGGCAGGGGGTTGGGGTGTGAGAGGGCGTCAGGTTCTGGGAGGGAATTTGGGGTGTGGGAGGGGCACAGGACTGGGACAGAGGGTTGGGGTTCAGGAGGGGACACAGGTACGGGCTCTGGGAGGGAGTTTGGAAGCAGGAGGGGGTTCCGACCTGGGGCAGGGGGTTTGGGGTGTGGGCTCTGAGAGGGAGTTTGGGTGCAGGGGACTGCTGGGGCAGAAGGTTGGGATGCAGGAGGAGGTTCAGGGTGCAGGCTCGGGCCAGGCAGCACTTACCTCAGATGGCTCCCAAAAGTGGCAGCATGTCCGGCAGCAGCTCCTAGGATCACAGGCCACCAGGCGGCTCTGCACACTGCCCCTGCCTGCAAGCACCGCCCCCACAGCTCTCATTGGCTGAGGTTCCCCATTCCCAACCAATGGGATCTCAGCGCAGGAGTAGCGCACAGACACCCCCTGGCTGTGCTACTCCTAGGAGCCGCTGCCAAACATGCCGGCCACTTCCAGGAGCGGCATGGAGCCAGGGCAGGTAGGGAGCCTGCCTTACCCTGCTGCACCGCCGGACTTCTGGCATCCTAAAATCTCCTGGATTGGCTTCAATAGCCCCAGGAGATTAAGCTTGATTCCAGGAGACTCCCAGTCAAACCGGGAGGGTTGGCAACCCTAGGTGTCTAAAATACCTTGGAGGATCTGGGCCAGAATTCTGGCAAATGCAGAAAATAAAAAGACCGAACAACAGAATTTTTTCCCCCGTCTAATATTTTTCTGCTGCATAGTCCTTGGTTCTGCTTGTAACACTAGTAGGTACAAAATGTGATTTTCAACTTGACAACAGTGTCTCCTTAATACTTGTTTTAATTCATTAACTTTTAACACACTGTAGTTATTAGCTATTTGTTGTAAAGTGCCAATAGTCTGGACTTCCAGAAAAGAGAACACCCAGTAGATAAATACGTGGAGATTTCACTTCCCAAACTTCCTTTTTTCAGCTTTTGTCACTGGCAGTTGCCAAAGAAGATGTGTGTTTCTGCTGGAATATCACCAAGCCACCTTCAAGGGGCTGGTTTTCTTTGCTTAGTTACTTGGCTTTGGAAGATGTCTGCGGAGTTGCGGTGTGGCTAGTGCCAGTTGTAGCAATTTTATTTTAAAAACGAAACATGTCACTTGAAATAGGTTGGATAAGACAGGACAGGAATCTGATTGGCTAACAAGCTTTCTGAACATGTCCCACAGGTAACTTTTACTGACTTTGCACTCAGTAGGTGGAGGTAGGTGCTTGGCCTTTTTGCCTCATAATGGGCCTGATCCTGTACGGTGCTGAGCATTCTGGCTGCACTCCAGTGAAGAAATTATTCATGTGCTTAACTGTAAGCATGTGAGAGTCCCACTGACTTCAATGGGATGAGTCACATTCTTAAAATTAAGTTTGTGTGCAAGTGTTTTGCTGAATCAAGGCCAGAGGTCTCGGCAAGTTACAGGTTTGAGCCCAATATGTGGGGCATTTCTATACATCAGGTCATATATTATTGCTTTCCTGGTCATATGTTACCCTGTGATTACAGCATATATGCAGACTTCTTACAGATTCTAAGTACTAATAACATGAGCGGTCAAATTATGGCTACCACTGTGTGAATGACCTAGAGGGGAGGAAAGGATGCAAGCAGTCCCTTTGATTCCCTCCTCTAGGGTCCCAAAGCTGGAGGCAGCCAATTTTGGCGATTAGCATTGTGGAGTACAAAAGAGAGCATCTGAGACTGTCGGCATTGCTAACTGGCTCAGAGGAGCCATATCTGGGCAGAGCAGAAACGAGGACATGTCTACACCCTGTGCTCTGGGAAGTGCAGGAGGAAGAGCAAGCTACCTTGCCTATAGGTGTAGCAGGTTCTGCTACTCACTGCACTCCCCACCAGCACCCGTGGTGGTTTTATGACTTTCACAGTCAGAGCACTGGGACACATAAACTGCTGTCTCTCCCACAGTGCTCAACAGAGCCCCCAGCTGTAATTTAGCTCAAAATGTGATTCTGTAACTCAGAATTAAATCTTTATGTCCTTTTAGTTTGGAACCCTGAAGAAATCGGATGAGTGCCTAGTTAATAGCTGCTGTGCAATTACAAACTTATAGCCTGGTCATTTGTAAAATAAAGCAAAATCCCAAGGTATCTACAGGAAATGCCCTGTAACTATTTCTTTTAACCATGTAAACTTCAGGCTGATCTAATAAGGGAATATTAATGTCTTTTTGCTAGGGAGGAAAAGAAAAACAAATGAAGATATTCCATCTAGTCACTCTGCCAATTTTGTTTTTTAGGGGAGAGCCTATGCTGCACGGTGTTTTGTAAAGCAGGAACAATAAAACGACAACAAAACATTAAGGAATTTCTCATTTATTTTGAGGCAGAAGTGACCTAGACTTCCAAGGCAGTTTTGCCTGAGTAAAGACTGCACAATTGGGACTATAGTGAAGGACTTAAGTAGGCCCTGATCCAAAGCCCAGTGGAATGAAAGGGAATCTTTTCACTGATTTCAGTGGGTCTTCGATCAGGCTGCAAAGGCAGTTTATTCAGGAGAAGACTGAAGAGTGATATGTGAAAAGGTACCACTAATTATTCCATCAGGCAGCAGAGGGAAACATGCAGCTCTGTGATTCATCACTGATGTCAACAATTTATGTTTACATCTCTGAAAACAGCGCATTTGCTGCTGCCGCAGAGTCAGCACAGGCGACCTCTCACATTTAAAAATCTGCTCCGTGAAAATAATGAAGCTTTTAAATATATTCTTAACTGGCCAGAAAGAACAATTTTCTTTTTTTAAATAAATGCTGGTAAGCCATTCATCACTAGAGCATATCCATTTTAAGGTGACTTACACTTTGGGCTAATTTGTATAGAAAAATCCTATAAGATGTAATAAAGAATGATAGCCTTGCTTAGGTTTTTTAGATCATTCTATGTAATTTATTAGAGAATCATATCACTTTTATAAAAAGACAGTCATTCTTTATTAAGTTCTCGAGTTCTTAAGAGTAATTCCCATAGAACCCTACTTAATTTCTATGGGACCCTAAAGGTTTCATCCTTATTAAATTCCATAGGACTCTTCCAGAAAGGCTAACTGCTTGGATTTGTCTTTTTAAATGAATGCTATTTAAATATTCAGTCCACTTGTTTGTTTTTTAAAGAATTTGATACAGGAGTAGAATTGGGCTGGATCATGGTGGCTTGGCATACTTTTCTGTTCCAGAATCTGAGCTTCTCTCTCTCTCTCTTTTTTTTTTTCCCCCATTTTAAGCCTCCATTTTAAAAAATGACTACTGATTTGGGTGTTTTTGTTTTTGGGTGCCATCTTAACCTTAAAAGGGCCTGATTTTTATAAAGTGCTGAGCATCCAACTTCTGAAAATCAGGCTCCTTTAAAGTATTTCAGGTCGGGTGCCCCAAATCACTCGTCCCATTTCAAAATGTAGGCCTACATGTCTCACCATTGTAGTTGCAAAGAAAATCTTCACATTGTGAATCTAATGTAGTTCAGGGCAGTAATGTCTGCCTGAGTCTACAGACAGTCTGAAACATTAGCTCTGAGAGAGAAGTGAACTGCCTTATTCATCTCATCAGAGTGATGACTCTGAAACCTAATGATAATTTAAATGCCAGTGTTGTTGGCTGTTTCACTGCTGGTTAAAGAATCCAAAAGGGCAAGGGACAATCATACTGTAAAGTTCTGCCCAATCTATTGTAAGTCCCTTTTTTTGGCACCTTGTTCTATGACTCAAATGGGTGAGGCTTGGGAGAATACCACTACTTCCCCGCCCCCAACCATATTCAAGCTGTGATTCAGTTGTGCCAAGACTGGGCCACCCAGAACTCATTATTCTCCATGCTTTGCAATAGGAAATATGGAGTACAGCACCTTTATGCCTGATGTTTGTTTACAGCTTCAGAAGCAGTTGTCCGAGCTGGATGAGGATGACCTGTGCTACGAATTTCGTCGGGAGCGCTTCACCGTCCATCGCACTCATTTGTATTTTCTACATTATGAGTATGAGCCTGCCTCAGACAACACTGATGTAACTCTGGTGGCTCAGCTCTCAATGGACAGGTAAGGAAAGCTCTTTTGTTCTATAAGGAAATCAGAAACAGTGAATATCTCCTACAAACTCCAAGAAGCTTCCCAGAATTTCAGCAGTTCCATGCATTAGAGAGAGGAGTATGACATTTTAATTGTGAAAATAGGGGACTTGCACTCTTGAATGAAGAAGTAGGTGTTGTACAAGTATCCACTGTTTATCTATGCCAGGAACTGAGGTGCATTGGCAGAGCTGCATGAGAAGCTGAGGTTTGGAATAGCAGAGGTTACTACCACTCAGGACTGTGGAGCATGGTTCATTTGTTGTGATTTATAACAACCTATAAAAATTAGGAGACCTGTGTCCTGGATGTTGACACAGTACAAGAGCTGGTCAGAATGTTCAGCATAAAAAAATGTCTCATTTGCACGTGCATTTTCTCGACACTAACATTTTCCTGTGGAAAATGTCAACTTCAATCTTTTTTTTTTTAATTTTCTCATCAGGAGAATTGATACAAAATATTGTTTCTAGTTGACATTTAGAGGTGGAACATTTTTTCAATTTGAAATGTCAGTTTGAAACAAAAAAAAAGTTATTTCAACATCTCGGATTATTTCATTTCTTAAAAAAATATTAAAGTTTTCATTTTAACATTGATGATTTGAAACTTTTCGGAATTTATCATTCTGCTCAATTTTACAAAAGTTCAGTTTTCTATTCTGAAGTGAAAACTAATTTTCTGAGGGATGAAAATTCCATCTGCTGACCAGCCAGTACACAGTACTTGTCTTGTCTAATTCCAGCAATTGCAATTAGTGGTCCACTTTCAGAAACTTAAAAATTAGTATTAAAAACAACAACAAAGCCCACCCCAAAATCAACCACCTAAGTCAGTCTCCATTTTCCTGCAGTTTTTAGTCTGAATCTGCAGCCATGCCTCACTCTGGCTGCTCTCAGAATGTGTTACAAGAGGGGGAAAGCACCACTTTAATATGAACAGGCAACTGATGCTGCAGTAAGTGGCTTCAAGGTTAAACTCATGGTATGATGGGATAACATGATTTTGGCAATTAATTGATATTTAAATATTCATGGTAAATAGGCCCAACGACCTGTGATGGGATGTTAGATGGGGTGGGATCTGAGTTACTACAGAGAATTCTTTCCTAGGTATCTGGCTGGTGAATCTTGCCCATATGCTTAGGGTTCAGCTGATCGCCATATTTGGGGTCGGGAAGGAATTTTCCTCCAGGGCAGATTGGAAGAGGCCCTGGGGGGTTTTCGCCCCCCTCTGTAGCATGGGGCATGAGTCACTTGCTGGAGGATTCTCTGCACCTTGAAGTCTTTAAACCATGATTTGAGGACTTCAATAGCTCAGACATAGGTGAGAGGTTTATCGCAGGAATGGGTGGGTGAGATTTTGTGGCCTGCGTTGTGCAGGAGGTCAGACTAGATGATCATAACGGTCCCTTCGGACCTTAATATCTATGAATCTATGAAGTGGAGCACATATAGAACACAACATGACACGTGCACGACACCTCTTTAGCTCTAGCAGAAGGTCAGCACTATTCCAGGGAGGACCAAAGGAATTCAGATTGACAAAACATTTTCAGAATACTATAAAAATAAATACCGTCTAATGAAAGTGGCACCATTTAGCCACCTCCTCAGCACTATATTCTGCACATTCAGCGATGATTTGCCAGCTTCACCAGAGCTTCATGTATTGATTTTTAATTTAAGAAACATTTCTTAAGTATTTGCAAACCTTTGAGTAAAAAAAACAGTCTCTGAGTGAATGCCATAATAAATTAGTAAAGCTGGTATGTGTGTGGTTTCCCTCCAGAATTTAATTCAAAAGAACGAGCTGCAGCTCTGTGCCATTTCACTGGCAATGATGCAAAGTCTGATAATCTGTTCTGGATCCTCACAGGGACACACATTTTACTGATAGACAGAGCTGCAGTTTTATTCAGAAAGAACACCCCTTCCAATGCAGTGCAGGAAAACTCCTTCCATGCTTCATTGGTGTGTTGTTATTATTTATTGATTTGGGTTGAAAATACTCTCTTTCAGCTAAAATCAATAAATAATATCTTACCACCAAAGAAGCATTTAGCTGTTTTATTTTTCCCTCATGTCTTTCAGTTGCTACCTTTTTTATCTTCTTTAGCTGCTTTTATTAAGCTCCTCTGTAGCAGTTATAGAGATTTGTGAACAGTGTCTCAGAAAGAGATAGACATGTACATAAATGATATGCTGCATAGTATATACCTCCATTATTCCTTCAAACTATTGTAAGAAGAAAAGGAAACCCAATTCAGCCGCTATCAGTGTCTCCAGATCTAGTCCCGCTGGGGCTAAGACTGACATGATTGCAGTGATAGGTTTATGGATGTTTGTCTTGCAGGCCGGGGGGAAGGAGAAGGGGAGCAGAGGTACATTTTAGAAGTCCAAAATAGATGCCCACAGAAGGAGGCACATTCATTGGTGTTTGTTACTTGTTATATGTTGTCTTTCAGACTGATGTGTTCAGACTGATGCAGATTGCTTAACTGCACCACTAGCTATGAAGGCGTTATTCAGGAGTATACCTTGGCTAGACTGCCTTTCTAAAGCAATGTCTGTCCTTAGCATTCAGCTGTCAGAAGTAGTTGTTACAGTGCAAGCTTGAAGTGTGGACAAAGAAAGCCACAGTTGACACCAGTTGAGTGTATTGAAACTGGAATAAGAGGGAGTCAAGTGGCAAAAGAATTCCTAAGGGGGAAGCTGATCACAAAGAAACAATCAAACAAACAAAAAAGATTTACAGCAAAATCCTCTTGACTGGGCATAGACCTTGTTGGAAACAAACATGTACCAACTGATCATCTTGATTTGTCAGAGACTATATTGTGCTGGGACATATTTACTTCATGAACTTCTTTAAAAGTGAGCATTGCACAGAGCAATTTTTTGAAAAACCAAAGAAGCTATATTTCTTGGTTTAGAAGCCATAATTTGTAGATTTTAAGGGCAGAAGGAACAATTATGATCATCTAGTCTGACCTCCTGCATAACACAGGTCATAGAATTTCACCCTGTGATTCCTACATCAAACCCAATAACTTGTGGTGGATCTGAGCATATCATTTAAAAAGACACTACAGAGCTGGAAGTATTACTCCTGGGGGAATCCTGCACCAAAAAAATAAAAATTCTGTGCCAAAAAGTAAAAAATTCTGGACACAATATTTTAAAATTCTGCAAAATTCTGCACACTTTATTTGTCAAAATAACACAATATAATCACATGAGTTTCAATTTATTTTGGTAATTTATTTCAAAATACCTGTCAGCAAGTATGGCTGTAACAATATAGACAACACAACATATTCAGAAAATGTTTTTGACAAATAGATTCCTTATTAGGCATATTAATACAGAACTTTGAGTAATAATTCATTAAAGCTGAAATACAGAAACTTATTTCCTGCACCCCTCAAAAGCAGTGCAAAGGCTTGGGGGAGCCAGAGATAATGGAGAAGCTGAGGGAGAGGGAAGTAATTGCTGAGAAGGAGGCTGGGAGTGAACCTGGAGGCTTGTTAGGTGTGGGTGGGATAAGTACGGAACAGGTTTTTTTTCTGGGGAAGGATTGTTAGGAAGTTGTGGAGCCTCCCCAGTGCAGTCCCTGGTGGACCCCTAGCCTTTCGCATTCAGCCAGGCATATCTGCACATGTCCCCATGTGTCCCTGCACTTTCACTCTCTCCTCTCCCCATGTGTCCCTGCACCCTCACTCTGCCAAACATAGCTGCCCTTGTCCCCATATGTCCCTGCATCGTCTCCCCCATCCCCATGTGGCCCTGCACCCCCATTTCCATTCAGTCCCTAGCTCAATGTTATCACCCAACTAGTTCATGGCCCCAGCCCTAGTCTGTCTCCCCACTAGCCCTCTGAATCCCAGTCTGGGTGACCCCCCCCTCCCCCCGGAGCCCCATGTGTCCCCCTCTGTCCATCCCCCCTCATATCTCATGCCTTCTCACATGGCCCCACAGGCAGGGTGCTGTGAGAAGGCAGCCTCTGCTCCCTCCCTCTCCACAGCTGGCTGCTCCGGCCTGTGAGCCAGCTGCCCTCTTCTCTGGCACCACATCAGCCCCTGGTGGGTGAAAGGTGTAATTGCAGAGTGACCCCCTCACAGCTTTTCTTTGCCTCCCCATCAGAACCAATTATTCTGCGGGGCCGGGAGGAATCTGTGGGGGACATTAATTTGGTGCTTGCTCAGTGATGTAGAATTCCCCCAGGAGTAGAAATATCCTGAAGTGAGCAAAAGTGTACAATGGGAAATGTATATTAACAAAAAACAGTTCCCTCCTAACTACTGTGCAGAGTTTGCAGACATCATCAGGCGTGCCGTTTAAATGAGTTATGTGTACCATGTATCCATTGCTTAGAGTCCTTGAAAGGCATTGCTCTGCATCTGTTCCCTGGCAATTTTCCCATTTAAGCAAGGGTGCCCTTTATCTGAGATCTGATTAATAGGATTTTGCTGATTGATTGGTTTCTACTGTGAAGCAAAAAAAAAAAGTATGCTTTTCTTTATTGCTTAGCTGCATTACAGGTTTTATTTATGATTCCTAAAATCAGTAGCCTAAAGCCTTTCACATACCTTTTAGATCTTTTTTATCGATCTCTGTTTCTAGTACAGCTGCATGTTGCACCCTGATAATAGCCTTTGTTTCAATAATAGATAAAAAGAAAATAATGCACCAGGTATAGACTAGTCAAGGTAATCTTTCATATCTAGGGAAAAAGCTTTATATTTCCTGGATGTCATCAGGATCACTCAAAGCTGGAAGAAAAAGCTATTAAATAAAAATCAGAATTTATATTTTGCTGGTATGAACACATCATTCCTTTCTGCTACAAAGCTTAGGGAGATCGTAGGAGTGGGAAATTATTTCCTTTGATTACTATGATGCAGAAAACTTTTCTTGTGTCTTGTCTGAATATTAATGGGGAAAAAATCTACTGATGTGGAGATTTGGAAGGTAGAGAAAACAATTGTACTCCATAGTCTATTCTTGCTGATTTTGAATGGAATACCTAGCTGTGCTATATAGCCTTGTTTCACTTAACATTAACTAAAGATGCTTTTTAACCAGAGCTTGCTATATTATTAGGCGTCACATCTTAATCTCTATAGGTCCCTCTAGAAACTGCCCGGAGTGTTTAGAGCATTTTGACCAGATAGGATTTAATTTAGTTCTGTGTATGGAATCTCTGTTTGGTGTTGTTGTCAATAATGTCATTACTGGTGTATGAGTTTTTAAAAAATATTATACATAAAATCTGTTTTTAAAAGTCAATGGCATAAGAGCTTGGAGAGAAATCATTAAAAATTCTACAAATTGATATTTCAAAGGCTATTTCTGTTTGAAATGTTTTCTGTTTACACTCCATGGTCCAACCCCCCCTCCCGCCACTCCACCTCCTCCACACACCCCACATGCCCCATCCACCCCATCCCATTTCTGTAGATGTGCCATCTTTGTGACATTGTCCTGACAGTATGTTTTCTTTTGGTCCGTAGGAATTTTCATAAAATGCAGTAATCACCGAATCCATCACATTGTATAACCTTCAAATATAATTCCCTAGCAAAACCTTTTAGGACCCTGCCCTTCCAGGGCCCTTGTAGTATTATAGCAGCCAAGTGCATTATGGGCTACTACATCTGTTCCCTTCCACCAGCTGCTTGAAAGGACCTACAAAACCTTACTAGTTGAGGTTACCTTGACTTCAGTGAAAGATGAGAGCACTCAGCACCACCTTGGATCATAAGGCCCCCACCTGTAAGTGAAACTACTCAGGCAGATCCCTGCACCTGCACAGAGCCCACTGACTTCAGTGGGACTTCACATAGGTACAGGAGTCCACCTGTGCAGGCCTTCATGCAGCATCATGGCCTATGGCAGGAAGAGTCCCAGAGATATCCGTTTCCCTTTTTTGATTCTTCCTCTTCTTCTTTCAGGCTCCAGATGCTTGAAGCTATCTGCAAACATTGGGAGGGTCCAATCAGCCTGGCACTCTATCTTTCTGATGCAGAGGCCCAACAATTCCTGCGCTACGCCCAGGGCTCGGAAGTCCTCATGAGCCGACGCAATGTTGGGTACCATATAGTGTACAAGGAGGGCCAGTTCTATCCTGTGAATCTCCTGCGGAATGTGGCCATGAAGCACATCAGCACACCATACATGTTCTTGTCTGACATTGACTTCTTGCCCATGTATGGACTCTACGAATACCTCAGGTAAATATAGGGTGAGGCTGTTCACGCACCCTTCCCCCACACACAGTGAAACAGTTGGGTCAGGCCCTAAGTGGAGCATAATAGCTTCGGATATTAGAAATGTGTGAACACCAAGCAGGGGAGAGGAATTATTTAGGGTGGCAGAAGAGGCTATAACTAGACATAATTGGATGAAGTGAAGAAAGGAGAAACTGAGACAAACAGTGAGCTGTATGAAACTGGGGAATAGTTCCAAGGGAAGTGGTGGAAGGCCCTCATTACTTGTCAATTTGAAAATTATATTGGACCAAGCACTAGTAAATGTGTAGTAGCTTCCTGTGTTAGCAGGGAGATGGGCTGGGTGACCTATTAGGTCTTTTCCATCTCTATTGTGTAGGGTTCTAGGATGTCTGTGACAGAGAAAACATGCAAAATGTTACTGAAATTGTTCTCCGCATGAGGTACTGTTAACCCAGCACTGTACCCTGGAAATGGGGGTATGATCCAAGCAGGTTTGATATGTGATTGCAAGACAAGAGCCTGTCAAGGCAGAATAATTAGTGTACTGAAATTGGAAGGGGTGACTTGAATGTGTATTGTATAGTAATGAATGTGAACACACTTGACTGAGTGAACTCTGGACCTCTGATCATTTAACACAGCCTCCTTTAATGGAGACTTTTTCCCTCTGCAAAGAGAGGCTGACACCAGAGCCAAGTGTGTGGGGCAAGGAGGACACCCTCTGGTCAGACAGAAGGATTTAAATTCCTTAATCCCTACTAGAAAAGGAGTACTAGTGGCACCTTAGAGACTAACCAATTTATTTGAGCATAAGCTTTCGTGAGCTACAGCTCACTTCACGATGCGTCCGATGAAGTGAGCTGTAGCTCACAAAAGCTTATGCTCAGATAAATTGGTTAGTCTCCAAGGTGCCACTAGTACTCCTTTTTTTTTTTTTTTTTTGCAAATACAGACTAACACAGCTGCTACTCTCAATCCCTATTAAATCTCATTTTTCCTTTGCTCTTCATCTCTCTCAAAAATTGGTAACATTTGATCAAAGTCATCCAACGAGGGTTCCAAATATGCAGACATTCAGTTTAATTGCACAGGCCCGGGCTCTTTGAATATAAAGAGAAATACACATTTCAGTGAATGGGATTGATGCAGGAAAGCGTTCGTCTCAAATTCACAGCTCATTCAGTTTTTTTCGTCTCACACAGACACACAATGAGGTGAGCTGTTTGGCTGTAGAAGATCCCTGCACCATTTGGCTGCAATCTGATTCCTACTTTTATCCCATTCACCTTGTAAATCTGTATATGGGTGTACATGCACCTAACTGCATTAAAACCAAGGGAGTTACACCCTCTGGTGTCAGCTCTCAGTTTATCCCCGTATTTCTCACCTATTTTAAGAATGTCTCCTTCTGCTCTTTTATGGTGCAAGAATTACAAAACAATTCTGTCCCTTCCCCCAGGATGACCCTCTCAGGACACGCAAAAGGATTATTATTATTAGCTCTTCTTTTCTTTGGTGCCTACATCTCATACGATACATGTCCCATGCTTTCTGTAGATTGACCTCCAGTTAGAGCTCTGAAAGAGGCCCCCATGGCTATGACATTGGCATGTGTTCCAGAGAAAGCACCTCATTCCTTCCCACTGCTCAGAGGTACAGTAACGGAAGGCAGCACTAAAAGGCAAGAAGAAAGGAGGAACAGGAGGATAATGTGGAGAAATATACTTGAGACGCTGAAGGATAGAAATCATTTTCAGAGTTTGAATTTGCTTCAGATGACTAAATGGAGAGCCCCACCTAGTGGTGCCATTAGGAAGTGAGAAGATTTCCACTGAAAGTTGCAGCTGGTGTGTGATGCTCCACAAATGTTCATGCAGCTCTCACACCAGTCAGACTCTGTGATTCCCTGTTGCTCAGGAAGGTCAGAATTGCTAATCTGACCTTCCTTGCTAATTGCTAATCTGGCCCTTTACAAAAGGGCATTTTGTGAAGGGCTTTTTGTTAAATAATGAGCAGTTTTAAGTAAAATAGCATAGCAAGCTGCCAGCCTGTTTTAAACAATGGTGACCCCCGTGTACTTCTTCACTGGAGTTCATAGTGGTACCTTCTGTGGGTAGTTGATTAGTAATATATATCTGAATGGCAGAAATCGTTCTTTAGGGCTGCCCATGCATGCATTCATTTCTGTCCCACCACGTACAGTAATAATAGGCTGACAGAAATAATGTATGATGCTTAAGGCCTGGCTCTTGTAAAGGGAAAGTCCCTCTGATAATACATTGATTTATCCATACTGTATATCTACAGTCTACCTGGTAAGAAGTATGGGATGAGGGAGATGTAATGATATAATGAATGTACGCTTTCAGAAACTCCCTGTGTCAATGGCTTGGCCCAAGATGGAGAAGGTCTGGCCATTATTCTAGATGTATGTTGCCAGCAGCTAGATTTGAGATTTTTCACAGCTGTTTATAGAAGATCACGTCAGTGCATTTGATCTCCATCAAAACTCTTTCCCGCCTCCCTTCATCTACTATAGAGTACGAGGAGAAAGACATGTAGAGTTCAGAGACTTCCAGTTTACAATACTAAGGTCACCTTTATAGTGTGTCCTGAGTAGAATTCTTTTGTCACCCGCAGCATTCAGTCATCTGTCACTCAGATCACCTCAGCATTGCCCCAAAGCCAAAGGCTCCTTTTTAGTAGCTGTGAGTACTATATTTGAATCATCGTAGAGGTTTTTTAGCATGAAATAATTAGACAGGTTCTCTCTCTAGAGCATCTACAGCTGCAGTGGCTAGTGCGAAGGTTCCCTCCTGGCTTACCTGTCTCAAATATACTCCTCACATCCACTGACACACTGGGAGTGTATATCCTCACTGTGTTCCTCTGCATTTATACCTGCCCCTCTCTAGCATGAAATGTGAAATATTTTTGGCCGCCTTGCACTGTGCATACACTGTGCTCAATGGGAGACAAACGTCACAAAGTAGCTGTTAGTTTTATTTGTCGGGTGTATTTGTTGGTTTTGCAGAGAGGAAGAATGATCTGATGGACTGAGCACAGGACAGGGAACTCTCGGGTTCCAACTTCAGCTCTGCCACTGACTTGTAAATTAGTCTTGGACAAGTCACTTTAGGCCTGGTCTGAGCCCCATTTGAGTCAGTGGAAAGACTCCCATTCAATTGAGGGGGTTTAGGATTAGGCTATTCACCTTTCTGTGAGAATGTCTACACTGCAATTGAAGGTGTGATTGTAACACAGGTAGACATACCCATGCTAGCTTTAATACAGTTAGTATGGCCCAAAATAGAAGTGAAGATGCAGCAGCACAGACCCCGGCATGGGTTAGCGATGTGGGTATGTACCCAGGGTTCTGGGTGGGTTTGAACAGTTTACACTGTAATCAAAACGTAAGTCTGGAAGGGACCACAACAGGTCATGTAGTCCTGTCCCCTGCACTGAGGCAGGACCAAGTACACCTAAATCATCCCTGACAGGTGTTTGTCTATCCTGTTCTTAAAAACCTCCAGTGATGGGGATGGGGACCAGGCGGGTGGTAGTGGTCGGGGACTCTCTCCTCAGGGGGACTGAGTCATCTATCTGCCTCCCCGACCGGGAAAACCGAGAAGTCTGCTGCTTGCCAGGAGCTAGGATTCATGATGTGACGAAGAGACTGCCGAGACTCATCAAGCCCTCAGATCGCTACCCCTTCCTGCTTCTCCACGTGGGCACCAATGATACTGCCAAGAATGACCTTGAGCGGATCACTGTGGACTACATGGCTCTGGGAAGAAGGATAAAGGAGTTTGAGGCGCAAGTGGTCTTCTCATCCATCCTCCCCGTGGAAGGAAAGGCCTAGGTAGAGACCGTCGAATCGTGGAAGTCAATGAATGGCTACGCAGGTGGTGTCGGAGAGAAGGCTTTGGATTCTTTGACTATGGGATGGTGTTCCAAGAAGGAGGAGTGCTAGGCAGAGACGGGCTCCACCTAACGAAGAGAGGGAAGAGCATTTTCGCAAGCAGGCTGGCTAACCCAGTGAGGAGGGCTTTAAACTAGGTTTACCGGGGGAAGGAGACCAAAGCCCTGAGGTAAGTGGGATACCGGGAGGGAACAGGAGCGCGCGAGAGGGCAGGGCTCCTGCCTCATACTGAGAAAGAGGGACGATCAGCGAGTTATCTTAAGTGCCTATACACAAATGCAAGAAGCCTGGGAAACAAGCAGGGAGAACTGGAAGTCCTGGCACAGTCAAGGAATTATGATGTGATTGGAGTAACAGAGACTTGGTGGGATAAGTCACATGACTGGAGTACTGTCATGTCATGGATGGATATAAATTGTTCAGGAAGGACAGGCAGGGCAGAAAAGGTGGGAGAGTTGCACTGTATGTAAGGGAGCAGTATGACTGCTCAGAGCTCAAGTATGAAACTGCAGAAAAACCTGAGGGTCTCTGGATTAAGTTTAGAAGTGTGAGCAACAAGGGTGATGTCGTGGTCGGAGTCTGCTATAGACCACCGGACCAGGGGGATGAGGTGGACGAGGCTTTCTTCTGGCAACTCACGGAAGTTACTAGATCGCAGGCCCTGGTTCTCATAGGAGTCTTCAATCACCCTGATATCTGCTGGGAGAGCAATACAGCGGTGCACAGACAATCCAGGAAGTTTTTGGAAAGGGTAGGGGACAATTTCCTGGTGCAAGTGCTGGAGGAACCAACTAGGGGCAGAGCTCTTCTTGACCTGCTGCTCACAAACCGGAAAGAATTATTAGGGGAAGCAAAAGTGGATGGGAACCTGGGAGGCAGTGAGCATGAGATGGTCAAGTTCAGGATCCTGACACAGGGAAGAAAGGAGAGCAGCAGGATACGGACCCTGGACTTCAGAAAAGCAGACTTTGACTCCCTCAGGGAACTGATGGGCAGGATCCCCTGGGAGAATAACATGAGGGGGAAAGGAGTCCAGGAGAGCTGGCTGTATTTTAAAGAATCCTTATTGAGGTTACAG